AGAGGGCTGTGTCAGCCAAGAGCCTGGCTGCACCATCAGAGACCCCCTCAGCCAGTCTAGGGGGCGTCTCAGCGCCAGACTCACCCGTCTTCCCACAGGTCAGAACAAAGGCTGCTCTGGGGAGTCCCTGCCCGCCATCATCACCCTGTCTTCCCTTCACTCTCCTGGGCAATGATGAAAGTGACCTCTACACGCTGACCTGGGGTGGAAGGGGAGGTGCTGTGCAAGGCCAGTTAGCCTACCCATGACCTCCTCCACCCGCCCCACCCTACCTAGCATCATAAGTCAATTGATCCAAATCCAGCCGTGGCTCATTAGCTCTGCTAAGAGAAAAAGTGTGGGAGTCCAGAACCTGGGGGAGCCCATGGAGAAAGACACTTATAATCACTCATCAACTGCAAATGCAGGGGGCAGTCACAGAGCAGGCCCTGCCCTCACATCCTGGGGACCCTACCCACTGAGACCAGGAGGAAGGGCTGCCTCCAGTGCCACCCCCCACCACCTCAGGACTTCAGCACCCACAATGGCCTCCTGCAGAGCCCTGGGTGGCCTTGGGACACTGCCCCAGCCCCCACTGGTGGCTGCCACGTTCTCTCATGTGGGAGAGAGTAAAACACTCTGCAAAGACCTAGGTGCAAATCCCGTGTCGGCCACTCATCTGCTATCTGACTCAGGGCAAGCAGCTTTTACCTGTCGGAGCCTCAGTTTCCTCATGCATAAAATAGGGAGAGGGCAGTACTGTGCAGTGGTTAAGAGCACAGACTCGGGAGTCAGGCTACTTGGGTTCGAATCTTTGGTCTGCCATTCCAGCTGCGCAGCTCACATTTCCTGGTTGTAAACCAGAGAAAACAACAGTGTGTAGCACACGGCTGTTGTGAGGATGAAGTGAGTTTCCCTCGGGGAAGTGCTGAGAGCAGGCCTGGCCCACAGGATGTACACATCCTGTTAGCTGCTACACCAGACAGGCTTTGGGTACCCACAGAGACCTAGATTCTAAATCCATCGTGACGGTAATCCCTAAGTGACCCTACCCCTCTGAGGAGGCTGGTTTCGTCAGCTGTAAAACGGGGCAGGATAAAACGGGGGCAGCCAAGAGGATTAAAGATGACATCTATACAACACACAACGCCTGGCACGCAGGAGACGCTTCATAAATGGCAGGGAGTTTACTGATGTGACTACTGACAGAGCACGTCATCTGTAAAACAGAGCGTACAGAGACCATGCAGAATAGTGGCTGATGGCGGGCGTTTATACAGTGAGGCCAGACTGTCTGGGTTTGAATCCCAGCTCAGCCCGTTAGGAGCTGTATGACTTGGGCAGGTTGCTCCGTCTCTCTGTGCCTCGTTTTTATACCCTGTAAAACGAGGAGGGTAAGAGCACCTGTCCTTCACAGGGCTGTCAGAAGGACAAAAGGAGAAAATGAACGAGAGGGTGTCAGGCGCGGAGCCCGGTCCATCACGAGTGGCCATGCAAGGGCAGGGGGTGGTGGTGTTATCACCGCACAAGAGAAGCCAGTCATGAAGAGTGCAAAGACAAAGACATCCCTGCCACCAAGGCTCCCTCCTTCCACAGCTTCAGGGGCCTCATGACCAGAAGGCAGTGCCGCAAAGGCCGGGAAAGACTTGACACACCACCCTGCGCTAGCTGCTTCCCTTCCAGGAATCCCAGAACCCTGGGCCCCAAGATACTAGCTTTAGTTCCTGCTTTATTGAGACGGGGAAACTGAGGCTCAGAGAGAAGCAGTCGGTGGAGCTGGACCCTGGACCAGTTCTGGGTGAGTGATGCAGGCACAGCTGCTGTAGACCTCCTACGCAACACGCGGTGAGGGATGGGGCTTGGAGTAAGGCAGCCACAGGTTCAAATTCCAGCTCCATGCACCATAGGCCCAGACTCCCCCTGCCCCTCCCACCCCCATCCTCCTCCCACAACTGAGTTGGGCCTGCAGCCCGCCCCACCTGGCCTGGCCTCCCTCGGTGGCCTCCGCATAGACAGCTCTCACCCCTGAGCAGAGACCCTCCAGGCTGTGCTGAAAGAGCTCCACTCCCAGGTGGGGGCCAGGGGCACCTGGTTCAGCCGTGAAATGGTGGCTAGTCCCGTCCTCTGGGTTTTGACTCCATGGACCTGGGCTTGAATCACATTACTGCCACTCACTCCATCCTGGTAAGTGACTACACCTCTCTGAACCTCAGTTTCCCCACCTGTAACTGGGGAGGCGGCAAGAAGAGCGGGCGCTGGTGGCACAGGTGGGCGAACACTGGACCTGGAGTTAGGAGACAAGCTCCAACTCCAGATCTGCCCCTTCACCTCTCTGAGCCTCACCTACCTCACCTGTAAAAGGCAGATCACAGTCATAAACGCCCTGACTGCTCCAAGCACCCTTGGGTCAGACCCAGGGTGCCGGTATGAAAGAGCTTTTTTCACAGTGGGGAGCCCTGTGCAAGCACAAGACGGGGCTGCTGGCACTCCTCGAGGAGGGGGAAGATTTCTTTCAAAAGGCATCACAACTGTAAAAAGAAAGGGCACAGCCTGCTGGTGGGGGATTTTAGGCATCAAGCAGGCAAAGGATGGCCTCAGCATGGGGTCCCCAATGGGTGACTGAGCCAGTGACACTCCCCTCTTGAAGTTTCAGTTTCTACAACTGTGAAATGGGAAACGAGAAACCCTCTTATCATGAGGAAGCAATAAGATTATGGCAGGGGCAATGCCTAGGCAAGTCACTGGCACACAGTTCTTGCCCCTCTGCAAAAGAAACAAACTCTGGGCAGTGGTTCTCAAACTTTGGGGAAACATGACCACACCATCAGAGTTTAATTCCGAAGTTCTGGGGTGGGGCCCAAGAATCTGCATTTTATCAGGCATCTCAAGCAACCCTTCTTTGTACAGATCCTTCCTGGGGTGGGCTGGTCAGTTCTGCTTGGGGGCCAGGTCCTTGGCTTCTAAGACAAGAGCAGGGTTTTAGCCAAAGTCACTTTTGGGACCGAGTTTCCTGATGAAATCTGGGGAAGCTAGAAATGGGGAAAGAGGGCAGGAAGGGGAATGGGGGGGGGGGGGCTGTGAACAATCAATCCATCGCCTCCCCGCCACAAACAAATGTGATTGTTGAGGCTCACACATCCTTCCCGTGCTAACAGTCTGCAGCTGCAATACAATGCTTTGATTACGAATGTCAAAAAGACAGAGTATGAAATTAACTTCCCCTTAGTCAGTGGGCACAGGGAGACACCACACTAATTCACTGCCCTTGGTATGAAAACTCCCCACGACAACGTCACATCAAATTAGGGCCTGCACTACCAGGGTGGCATCTCTATCTCTGCCCAGCAGGCTCTTTCACAATCAGGCCCAGCCTGCAAACAAGGGCCCTGAGGGTGCGAGAAAGGTCAGGGTAACAGACAAGTGCCTGTCCCGGGGTTAACTGGGTGGGGTTAACTGAGCGGGGGCCAGAGCCAGCTGGAGAAGGGCCCCTCAGCAACCCCATGGGGGCTGCCCACCAGAAAATGGAGGTGTGACTAGGAGTAACTCACCCCGCAGAGCATGTGATGCAGGAAATGTGCAAACCCACCTTCTATCTGGGCCAATTCCTGCCCCACTAGCCCCACTTGAGAGATGGGAAAACTGAGACTCAGTGGCTTTTCCCAGGTTGATCACACTGAGTCAGCACCAGAGCCAGGCCCGAGAGCCGAGTTCCTGTGACTCCTGCACAGTGTGGCTCCAGCTTGGCCTGTGGCAGTCAGGGTACAGTGGCAGCAGGTGGGGCAGCAGGAGGGAGGGGCGGCAAAGCCCTGCTCAGGCTGCCTTTGGGGGAACTTCTAAGGAGTTCTTGGAGCTGCCCTGGGGGCCCTCCCCTCCTAGAAAACCAAAGTGCATTCAGTTACTCACTGGGCAAACCCTGAGCTCCTACTCAAGGCACAAAGTGCTCTGTTAGAGCCTCCAACCAGCCTGCCCCAGCACATTGCCATCAGCTGAGGTCTTCCAGGAGACAATCCCAGGGGTCAGGCATATGCAGGCTTCCTGAGCAGCTGCAAGTGGGGGTGTCAGGGAGGTCCTATTCTTGGCATGCCCCAGGATCAGGCTTGACCTCCAGCCTTGGGGTTACTTCTTACCCTTCCCAAGGAATGCCCAGGGTATTCCCAGGCAGGCTGCCAGGGATTCTGGCAGGTGGGATCTTGTCTCCTACTCCTTCCCCCAACCTGCCTGGCTCAGAGGGGACCTCTGGTGCACAACCGGTGGCTTCCACAAGGACCTGCCTTCCAAATGCCAAGGAAGGTTCTTACATGTGCATGCCTGGGTGGCATGTGGTATGGTCCGTAGACAAGACTTGGTGGGAGCCAAAGCTGTGCCTCTTGGTATATGTGAGATGCTGCGTGCCCAACACAAGTTCAGACCCACACATGCCCACAGAGGACAGAGACTCCCTCCATCTCAGGAGGGGACAGTAATATAGGCCACCCTTCCTGGCACCCCTTGCTTCGAGGGGAAACTTACACATCATTTCCATCACAACAATCTCCCCTGGGCTTTCAGCCTGTCCCTTGAGGTAGGGGGGCAGGCATGATCACAGGTGACTCCACACTGAGCACTGAGGGGGAGCACGAAGAGGAGCTGCCCCTGCTGGAGATTCGGCCCTTCTGGAAGCTGCTTCAGGCTCTCAGGCTCTTGGGGGATAGGGGGAACGGGGGCCTGAGGCAGCAGCCCAAAGACTCCTGGAGAGGTAGGAAATGGGTCAGTTTCACGGTAGAGTGGCCAGTGACTGTCCCTTCAATAGCCCAGGCCTTGGGCATGTCACCTGGCTGCTGGAGGCCTCGGAGGGCTAGAGGTGGGGGACTAAGCCTCATCTTGGTCCTGCTAGAGGGGTAGGAAATGAGTCAGTTTCACGGTAGAGTGGCCAGTGACTGTCCCTTCAATAGCCCAGGCCTTGGGCATGTCACCTGGCTGCTGGAGGCCTCGGAGGGCTGGAGGTGGGGGACTAAGCCTCATCTTGGTCCTGCTATCCACAGCTACTGACACACCTCACCCCCGAGCTGGGAATGCGGCCCAGGCCACTCCTCACAGATGGATGGACTGACAGCCAGAAGACCAGGACACCAGAGGTTCTTCATGCAAGCGGTGCTTTCCCACTCTCCCACAGCCCATCGCCACAGGGGACTGGGTTGCAGCTCAGAGCAAGTGAGAAGCTGTGTGTGCCCTGCCACCCAGGAAGAAGTCGGTGGAGCTGGATGTTTTCCTTCCTGCCTTTTCAGTCTCCCTATGATCTCCAGCTCTCTTCTGTGGCCTTCTGAAATAGCCATTAATTAGAGCCCGGTAATTAACTTTCTGGCTCAAGTAATATTTTGCAAAGGAATTCCATTAAAGAGTCAATTTGCATATTCTCAGACATGGGGCCTGGAAACAGTCAGGGTTACTTGGGAGAAGGCAATAGACCCCATGGCACCCCTCGGGCCTGGCACCCCAGGCCTGGGCTCCACTGGCACCTAAAGGCACGAGGGGATTAAGAGGGCTCTGTCCTGAGGGCCCGGGTATATGCTGAGCCACGGGAGGGTCTCCCCAAGAAGGTGGGCAGTTTGTTCACAAAACTGGACAGCTCAGTGGCCACAAACCCAAACAGAAACTGTTCACAAGCACATAGATGTGCACATGTGAGATCTCAAACACAGAACATACTACACCCGAGGCACAAGAGGGTGTATGTAAACACACACACACACACACACTGGTAGACACGTACATATAAGAAAACAGATACAATAATAATCATGGTTGCCAACACTTATTGAGCAGTTAGTAGGTTGAACCATATGTGCATATTTGACCTACAAAAATAGCCACTTCATATGGTCCAATCCAATATGAAGTACCAAGCACTGTTCCAAATGCTAGGCATATGATTATCATTTCAATGCACAGACATGGACAAGGACATTTACATATAACACACTCACACACCTTCATGAGGGCAGGTGCATACTTGCAAGACATAGGAAAACGTGCACGTACAGGCACACACACGCCCACAGACGCCTGTACGAAAAAAGGCTTCTCCAGCCTTGAAACCCCAGCCTGGGGCTGATCACATTCTCACTAGCTAATTTCCACTGTTCCTAAAAATATTGCCCAGCTCAGATCTCTGGAAGATACATGAGGGAGCCGCAGATCTAAAAGGAGGGTGATAAAAATGAGAAAGCAAAAAATAAATTGGTTCTTCTCTATGTCCGGGTCGTGTTCTGTGGCTTTCCCGTCCCTCTCTGGAGATGAGGCTCAGAATCATGTGCTCGTGTGCAGGGCTCCGGTCAGCCCTGCCCCAAAGGTGCCCACGGAGCTCCAAGTACATCACTGCAGGAGGTCAGGACCTGGTCACAGGCCTGACTTCTGTGATGGGCTCAACTCCATGCCTTTGACTGGATGCCTCAGTTTCCCTGAATCTAAGAGCGAATTTTCACTGTCTACTTACCCTGAAGGGCAGAAGACCTCTCCCAGTGCTGTGTAAATGCCAGGCCTCCTTATGATAATTATCGGATTAAGAATTAAATCTGATTCCCTTATGGAGAGGAGGGGAGAAGAGGGGAGAGGCGGGGAGGGGAGGGGAGAGCTGGATGAGCCTTGCTTGTAGGTAATTAATGAATCCCTTGCCATACCTCTTGGAAGGCAGAGACCCATTTAACAAGGATCCACCCACATGGGGCTTCTCAGAGCTGAGGGAGGCCAAACAAGGCAACCAAGAATCCTGCAAGGGGCTCGTGAGAATGTTCAGAAGGCCAAGGAGAAGAACAGACAAGACTCGAAAGAAGCAGCCCTACTGGCCATTCAATTCGGGAAAACAATATTCAATCACTAACAAGCAAAGAAATGCAAGTCACAAAGAAATACCATTCTTCCGCCTATTCAAATAACAAAGATTGTTTTAGTGACAACACCCGATGTTTCTGAGGGTGAGGAAACAGGTGAGTACTCTCAAAAATCATTGGAGAGGGTAAATTATTATAGGCTTTCGGTCGGGGGAGGCACTTTACCAAAACCTCAAGCTGTTTATATTCTTTGACCTACTAATTCCATTTCTAAGACTTTATCCTACAGAAACAACCAGAGAAGGAGACAAAGATAAATATTCAAGGATTTAAATACCAGCACCATTTTTAATAAAGAAAAACTAGATAAATAACCTAAGCGCCTAAATGAAAACCAAGTATGACCCAAACACAACACGGAACTTTTAAATTGATTTTTTTTTTTTTTTGGTGAGTAAGATTCACCCTGAGCTAACATCCATTGCCAATCTTCCTTTTTTTTTCTTTTTTTGCTTGAGGAAGACTGTCCCTGAGCTAACACCTGTACCAATCTTCCTCTATTTTCTATGTGGGATGCCTCCACAGCATGGCTGATGAGTGGAGTAGGTCCTCATCCGGGATCTGAACCCGTGAACCCAGGCTGCCAAAGCAGAGCGTGTGAAACTTTAACCACTCAGGCACAGGGCCAGCCCCTTAAAACTGACTTTTAATACACATATAGGAGAGGGCTGCTTTCCCAGGTGTAGACAGGAACAAGGGTCACTCTGCCTGGCTATTTCTTGTGTTCAAGGTAATGAGGATCCTCTGCAAAGCCCTCTTTACCTTACAAGGAACACCAACATCTAGTTTCTCTTGAACCTCACAGTAACACCACATGATTGCTTGTTTTTATTCCCATATTGCTGACAAGAAAACTGAGGCTTACCAAGATGAAGCGAATTTTCCCTACCAATATTAATTACAACTTATTAAAAACCTACAACATGCCAGTCTAACCTCTTTCACATGCTATTACTCATTTAATAAAACTTGAGAAACATGTAAGAAATGTGCAAGACCTGGTGTTAGTTGCCAACGAAACAGCACTGAACAGGACGCTTTCTACTAAACACATGCGGAATATATTAATGTTTCCAAAAACGTTATCATCAGGTCCATTTTGCAGATGTGCACACTGAGGCTCCAAAAGGTTCAGTGACTTGCCCCAGGAATGCCCGGCTTCAAATCCAAAGATCACATACTTCCCATTACTCCCGGAGACTGTCTAAACTGCACCATCATCTCGACGTCACTCAAGGGAAGGCAGAGAAGGACCAGGCCCTCACTGTCTACGGAGGGGGAGAGTGAGAGGGCAAGAAAAGCCAGGTCTGGATGCCCAGCCCCTCTGGCACCTACTGTCCACAACTAAGGCAGGAAAACAGATCCCATCTTCCATTTCCCCCGTTCTCATCAAGCTTCCTCTCCCCTCCAGGGACTGCCTCACCCAAAGGGGCAGAAGTGCTTGCTGCCTACTCAGGGCCAGTGGAGGGGCCCTGAGAGCTCCCACCCCGACTTCCAAGTGTCCCGTTCCCCACTCTTACACTGCCTGGCATCCCACCATCAGTAACTTTCAGGTGTGAGAAGTCTAACTCTGCACATATCAGCCTTGCATACCTGCCCCTGGGCTGCCCCGTTTATGGAAGAGCTCTGCACTAGGCCAACTGGGAAGAATGGGAAGGAGGCTACCGCCCCCTCGGCATAACTACAGGGGTTGAGAACAGGTAGAGAGCCAGAGGAGGCATGCTCCCAGCACGTGTGCAAGGCCAGAGTCACCCAGAAACAGTCTCAGGGAGAAACAGGATGAGGAAAGGACAACATTGCCAGCTGACCCTCCTAGCAGCTCAGGAACATTAATAAATAAATGAATGACTTGGAAATTATCTTCCGGGAAGGCAGAACCGCCACATCCTCGATCGCTTTTCCCAACGTTAAACAGCCTTGTAAATGAAGCAGCAACATTTCCAGCCTACAAAACAAAAATGCTTTTGCCAGCACACCTTTCGCCTGGAAAGCCTCAGAGCAGCATTCATTTCTCTTATCTAGGAGAAATGACTACCTGTCCTTGGTGCTTATTTCCAAAACCTCCAAAGAAGAAATGAGAGACGCTCATTTCTCAGACAAGGGGCTCAGGGATTTTTGGAGACCAGCCGGGAACCTCCCCCAGGCCATTTCAGGGAAATAAGTACAGCGACTCAAACCTGTTCTGTGGTCCTGGAGACCCCCAGAGCCCAATTGTGCCCATCAAGCCCTGGCTGGCCTGACCCCAGCCTTCTCTCCCAACCAGCCAGGCTCAGCATCCCCACACCTGGGGCAGACTCCTTTCCCAGGCAGCAGAAAGATGCGAGCGCAGAACCAACTGGTTTCCAACCTCCAGATGAGAGAACTCCAGCGCAAAAAATAACCTCCCCAACACAGCAGTTTTCGGAGCACGGCAGCCAGCATGCAACAAAGCCGCCTCAGCAGCCATGAAGCAGACAGCTTCATCCCAAGTCCGGACCTAAGCGGCTGCCTCCCAGTGCCCTGTGCTGCTTATCTACATGGGGAGACCACGGGGACCAGGGCTCACATATGCCACCCTAGAAGCCCCCACCCCTATCCCCTCACTGAGGCTGGGGTCTCTGCACTTACCCCCTCCCCAGCCAGAGGCTGGGTCACCCAGTGGGGGTCCCATGGAGCCAGGATTCAACCCCCTCCTGGCTGCTAAGTCAAGCCAAAGGCAGCCCGTTCTGTCCGCCCAGCCTTGAACAGCACAACCACACCGCAGCGGAGCAGGGGGAGGCACCTGTCCACTCACCCAGGTTTGACCATAAGCTTTTGCGGGGGGCCCACAGTTGGTTTTACTCACTCCAAATAGGATGACTCTAGAGACTGCCCTGGAGAACCACCTGCCCGTCCACCCCAACAGTAGCCAACAAATCTATCTCTAAGCAAATCAAGAGATGCCAGCCCTCCAAGGCTCCAAGGCTGGGGAGAGGGATTTCAAACACAGTCTCTCTGCCTGTCCGTGGGAAATCTGGGCTCCCTTCTTGTGCCAGAGAAGCCACCAAGCCAGATTTTGTTTACAGAAAATTAATAAGACAATTCCACACCACTGCCAGTGACACTCTGCTCCAACCACTACCGTTTACCACCGTTTCTATAAACGGGCTTATAATTTCACTCCCAACCTCCCACTCCGCACCCCTTCAGCATGTGGCAAGGCTGACCTGAGGCCAAGCCCGGCAGAACCTGCACGAAGTCATCTCAGCGATGCCCCGACCTCCGGCCAGGGTCGCCTGCCGAGCGTTTCCCAGCTTCTCCGTGCAGGCTCTCCGCCGGAGGGAGGTAAACATGGCATGCACGCTGTCTGCTCCGGGGAGGGCAGACACATTCAGAGGCTGGACTGCCTGCTGTCTCTCCTGCTCCCCCGGACAACCAACACATGCACACAAAACGGGGTACGTACACAAGGCCCCGCATGCGGGTGCAGAAGGTCCTGACCCCTGCCAACGAAAGCGCAGAGAAGGGCATGTTCCTGGGGGAGAAAGCCGGAGGCGGGGGCCGGGCGGAGGGAGAAGGCAGCAGACCGGGTGGCCTGCCGCCCAGACAATAACAAAGATGGGAAACGAGATTTTCAAAGACGCAGTGGCTGCACCCAGCACTGAGCTCTGGCCTGGCTGCATCTTCCTGCCAGGGCACGCCTGGTCCCCTGGGGCACCACGGCCATCAGAGAAAGGCTGAGGGTCCTGCCTCGGGCTGGGCTTGGCAGCTGGGGCAGGAAACCAGCTGCAGGCAGTGGTGGGGATGCATTGGAGAGCAGCTCCGGGCTCATGGAAATTAAAGGTCTAGTAATTCTACGGTCAGATGGGAGGGGGTACTCTCCAAGAAGATGCTAGGGGTCAGCTAAACAGTCACTCAACCTTGGGCAGGAGTTGGGCTATAACTTGTGCTGCTCTGGCTGCTGGAACCAAGGGGGAGGGGAGAGACATTTTCATTCTACCTGTGCCTGCCCTATAGGGAGAGCCAACTCACCAATCACACACAGGGGCACAGCCCTACGAAGGCAGATGCCAGGGGCCTGAGATGCCCGGGCTGAATGCTGAAAAGGATCCTTGGTGCCCTCCCATTCTTTCACCTCCACAAGCTGAGCTGGGACACGTTCTAACTGGCGCTGGAATCCATCACTGTGCCTGTGCCCAAGTGGAAAGGTGCCGTGGCTGGCACAGCTTAAGGAAGGGGACCTGGGCCCGGAGAGACTGTGTCTGCCCAGTGCCCCAGCACGAGGACAGGATGGCTTGCCCTTGCGAGCTGAAGCCTGCTCTGTTGCCGGTGACTCCCGGCGGGCTCAGCCACCTCCTCCCTCTCCTCCTCTGCCCCACAAGCCACCTCCCCCTGGAATTTCCACACCTGCTCCCGGCTTGCCCAGGAGAAGGAACCTGGAAACAGGAGACACTCCTGGGAGTGGAGAGGTGAGGGAGGGAAGCAGCGGCCCCGGCTGGAGAGGACCAGGCCCTTCCTCGCCCGCCTCGGCAATGCCCCTGAGCTCAGGGCCCGGGCACTGCCCGCTGGCTCGCCCCAGCCCCCAGCGGAGCACGCGCCCTACTTAGAGCAGATGTGCCCCCTAAGCGGCCCAGCCCCCTGCTCCTCCCCTCCAGATGTTCACCCTTTGCCTCACCACTGGGTCTCAGCAAAACCTAGCAGTAAATGCCTTTTGTATGGGACACCCAGGGGCTCCAGAGGCACGAGGATGGGTCCTGGGGGTGGAGGCGCCACTTCTGTCCCCAGCTCCGGGCACTACACCGCCCAGGGAACAATGCCCACCTCGGTAAGGCGAGGCACGACTTGCCGGCGGAGAGGGCACTTCCCGCCGGCCTCGCCCGGAGCCTCGGCAGCCCCTCCTCACCCCGGAGCGGAGAGAGAAGGCGCCCCCGTCGGGCCCCCCAGTCCGAGGCGGCCCCACAAGTTGCCGGAGGGCGGCGTGGGGCGCCCTCCCGCTTTCGGCGCGCCCCAGCCCCGGCTCCCGCTTTGTCCCCGCGCCCTCGGGGCGCATCCCGGGGCGGCGGCGCGCGGAGGCCGGGCCGGCCGGCCGGGCGGCGGGCTCACCTCTCATTGTCCGCGGCGGCGGAGGCGGCGGCGGCGGCGGCGGCGGCGCTCCGGAACCCCGGCAGGATGTGGCGAAAGCTGTGGTTGCGGTCCAGCTTGGGCTGGCTCTTGGTGCGCTTGATGGAGCCCTTGAGGCGGCGGCTGAGGAAGCCCTGCGCGCGGGGCGACAAGAGGGGGAAGGGGAGGCGGGGTTAGCGCGGCGCCGGGCCCGGGACCCGGCGGGACCCGCGCCCTGGCTCGGGCGGCCGCGCGGCCGAGGGCGGGCGCGGGCTGGGCTCGGCCCAGCAGCTCGCGGCCCGCGCCGCCCGCCCGCCGACCGAGCGCCGACGGCCCGGCCCGCGCAGCGCGGCCCAGCCCACCCCGCGCCGCCCGCCCGGCCGGCCCAGCCCGCCACGTCGCCCCCGCCCCCTAAGCCGCTGTTGCCATGGCAACGCCGAGCCGAGCCGCGCCGGCGGCGGCCGAAGTGGCCCGAGCCCCCCGGGCGCGGGGGCGGGGGGCCGGGGGCCGAGGGGGCGGGGCTGCGGAGGGGCGGGGACCCCCGGGGCCTTGGCGGCTGCGGGGGGGTGGGGCCCCCCCTCTCTGCACGGAACAAGGTCACACCCCACCCACCCTGAGGAATCCACGCCCCCCACCCCGTCCCGGATTGACGAAGCGCCTTGCTCCACCCGCGAGGTCGGTGTTCTCAGCCCCTGGCTGTACAGATTGGGGAAACTAAGGCTCTGAGAGCAGGTGTTTGGTCCTCTGGGGGCGGGCCGACGAGCGCCTGGTAGGACCCTGGCCACCCGGACCCCTAACCCGGGCACCTTTCCTTCCGCAGGCGACGGTCACTGGCCCTCAGGGTGGAGCCCTTTGCCTGGAACCGCTGTACCCCAGAAGGGGCGACCACCTCGGGGCTCAGGGAGGGGCCGAGGGGCTGAGCATCCCCATCTGGAGCCAGGTCTGAGGGAAGGCTGGACCTTCGCTAGAGACACTGCTGCCTGGTCCCATTCGTGACCCCGGGAGGAGGAGGGCAAACCTTAGCCGGGCCCCCATTCAAGCCATTCCGTCCCTCTCCAGGGCTGAGCTGACCTCTGAGGAAAGAGCTTGTCTAAGAGGGGTTCTGGGGACTCACCCAGCCCAGCCTCAATTCCAGGTGAATGGCACATTAACTTATACTGAAGTTAATGCTGCACACAATCTGAACATTTCATCCATCACACAATAATGGGTAGGGAGAGGGAGAGAGGTCCAGGGAGAGAGGTGGACGTTTGCCACAGGCCATGCCCTGTGCTGGATCTGTCCATCTTGATGGCCCCAGCACCCTAGATATGACGAGGTCAAACGTTGGCTGTATACATCATCTCACGTCACCCGCACAAACAGAAAATGACAAACATCCCTTTCTGCACATGAAGAAACCTTGCTCAGAGGTAAAATAACTTGCCCAAGGACACACAGCTTCCAGGCCTCCCTAATGCCAGAGCTTTTTCCACAGGAGCCCCCTCTTCTGCCCACCCTCTTCAAGCTTTCCTATCTTTCCCCGCCTAAATCTCTCACATCCGTAGAAGACCTATCCCTTTGGCCACCTGTCAGAATTCTGCACATCCTTCAAGGCCCCGCTGAAATGCCACCTCTCCCAGAAGGCCTTCCCAGGTAGTGGAGTCCAATGGTGGCAGACCAGGGGACAGCAGGCTCTCAGGGAGACACAGCATGAAGGCAGGGACCCAAGGCTTTGCATAAGCTCTGGGCTCTCCCAACCCGGGCCCCTTGCCAGGTGAAGGGGACAGGCAATGCACCTGGCGAACCCGGCCAGGTTCTTCTCTCACAGGTGTTGTCAAGCAAGTTCCCCCAGTGGGCTTGTCCTTCTTCTTGGTTTTTATTTTCTACCCTGGTGAAAATTTCAGTTTTTACACTCTTGTGGCACCAAGAACCATGAAGCATGTTTCACAATTTATGTAGCTCATCATGGAGCAATACTGACAGCTTCATCCTATTTCTGAGTTTAAAAAAAAATCCTTTGCTCCCTTCTAGGAGGTTGAGTGGGACATGTGTCACTTCCTCTCCCCACCCCTCCCCCTAAGGCTATGCTAATGCTCCTCTGACAAGCGGCCTCCTCCTTGAAGCCTACTTGGAATGTCCCCCCCCCACACACCCAAACTGACCATGACCTTGGGGACTCAAGCTCTCTATAGCATTCACTCATTTGCCATTTATCAAAAGCCTACTATGTGCTGGACAGGGACTAAGACAGCCACGAACACTATGAGGGGAGCAGTGTACAGATTAACAAGAGGCCAGGGAGCTCAGATCATGGGAAGAGAGATTCCGCACAGAACGAGGAGGACCCCCATTAACCATCCACCATATTGCACATGTCCACCTTGGGGGACACAAGTTCCTCCAAGGACTCAGCTCAGGGCCCTGCATCTGGCAGGTGTAAAAAATGCTCATCATCCCAGAAGGCCAGAGCCAGAAAGGGACTCAGATCCAAAAGACTGCATTGAGGGTGAATGAGGCCCAGAGAGGGGAAGGGACTTTCCCAAGGTCACACAGCAAAGTTAATCAAAAACCCTGGACTCTAATTGCCTGCTCTGCCCAGCCTCACAGCATGCTTACTGTCCTCCTTCCTAGGGTTGAGGGCCAAGGGTGGCTCCTCACCCAGCCCTGGATGAAGGGGCATGAGCCTTTTCTCCTCTCCCTTCACAGGCAGGTCCCAAAACTTGATTTCTGGAGGCAGCTGCAGCCCTGGACTTGGGAAGAGGGACTGACTGGTCTTCGTGTCAGAAAATCTTGTTCTTGACCCAAGTCAACCTTTAATGAGGGGCAGTGGGCAAATCCCATCCCTTCTTTCAAGAAAACAGGAGTCCTGATGCCCACTTTGTAGGACTGTGGGGGAGCCTGCAGACAGCCTGGTGGCTGAGAGCTGGGAGCCGGAGGCAGACACACGGGCTCAGCCACGGCTCCACAGACCCCTCACTGAGATGGCCCTCTGTGAAATGGGTGGGGGCTGCAGTGAGCATTAAGTAGGACAGAGAAAGCTCTGGACACCCCTTCCCACACCCCCAGGGCCTGACTTTATCCCACCTTCTCCAGGAGGCCGCTCCTGACTACAGAAGCTGGCCCAGCCGATCACATCTCTTGGGCCAGCTCAAGTCCTCTCACACTGCTCCTGTTCAAATCTTAACTCAGGTGAGCTGTGGGCAAATTACCGGGCCTCTCTGAGCCTCAGTGTCCCTATCTGTAAAATGGGCTAATGACCAGGGTTGTGGCAAGGGCCCCCATTACCAGTAAAATGGCAAATATGAAGCAACTGGACACAGCAGCTGCCCGCTTTACTGTGATGATGACCGATGTTGGCTCTAGTACAGCGCCCGCTGTTGGCCCTGAGAAGGCGTGAGGCCACCACAGGTGGGAGTCTGTGTGGGCTCTCTGTGGAGCTTGACGGCAGCCTGGCAGTGGGGACAGGGCTGGTGTCACGCCTAGTGAATGAATGAACATGCTGACAAAATCATCCTGGAGCCACAGAATATCATCTAGTTGAGTAGTTTTGAAGTCTTTTTAAAAAAAGCACTTTTCTCTAAAGCAACCTCGCAGAGACTCCGAGGTACAAAGCGCTGGGGGCGGCCTCGGCTCCACTCACAAGGGCAGGGCTGCTGTCTGGAACTCGGCGAGCAGCCTGCGCAGTCTGTGGAGACCGGGCTGATCCCCCCAGATGGGGCCCTCTGCCTCCACTCACACAGCCGTGCTCCCGCGTGCTGCTCAGGGAGCTGGACCACTGCCCCTAGGTCAACTAGGGCCCCAGGGGCTTTTGCACGAGGCTGCTGCCTCGTGCCACCACCCCAGCCCATGGGGGGCTGGATGTGGACAGCCGTGTGGCCTCTGCCCCTCTCTGTGACAGCTCACTGCCCATTTGGACATTCTCCCTCCCAGCTGATCTGCAGGCCCCCTGGCTTCCATCCATGTCACTGACCTAAGCGCAGGGCAGAGGCCGGTGGGGTCTCTGGCTGGAAGGACCTGTGTTCTTGGCAGCTCCCTGACCCTAAGTCCAGCCATTTCGCCACCATCCTGACATCTGGCCCACAACCCTGCTCCTTCTCCGGGATGTTCTGAGAGACTTTCTCAAAGGCCTTTCAGAATTCCAGACACATGATTTCTTCGTGCACCCAGTTCAATCAATTCCAAGCAATGATGATGATGATAAATTCTCAGTTACTGAGCTCCTGCTCGCCAATTTGCTCTGCCCGTGGCTCTCGCTGACCAGCCCCCAAGCCCGAGAAGAGGATGGCTAGGAGGGCCCAATGCCTCTTATTGGGAATCCTCGGCAGGACATGTACTCCAGAATTCAGACTGTTTAGGGTCTTCGGGTGGGGAAATGGAGGTTCAGAGATTTGAAGCCCCTTGCTGAAAGCGGCAGAGCCATTAGGTGGTAGAGCTGGGACTGTAACCAGGAGAGTTCTGGCCCCTGGGGTGGGCAGGGTGGGGACCCCTTCCCCATGCACACCTGCACATACACACACACACACACCTGCACGTGCACACACACAAGTAAAAGGCTGGAAGGGGACTGACAGCTCAGCCCATCCTCCCACTCAGCCCCAGGCACCCTGCTGGGCCTCGGGGATGGGAGGAAAGAAGGGAAGGTGTGCCTCTCCGAGTGCAGGGCTGTCACAGGTGAGGACCCGGAGGCGCAGGGAGGGGAGCCTTGCTCGGTCCCATCCTCACGTATGCCTCACTCCCCACCCAGGAGACAGCACCTAGACCAGGAGTTTGCATTCCAGCACCACCACTTGGGCACCTGGGAGTCAGGTGTCACCACTGGTCTCTGAGCCACCTTCTCACCTGAGTGTAAAGCCCCAAGCACCATGCCCGGCACAGAGTGTGTGCTCTCTCAAGGACGATTTCCTTCCCCGACTCCATCATCTATTTGGCCCTGCATCCTCAATCCAGGCCTGCCTTCGTGACCTGCTCCCCTTTTAACAAACCGACCTTGGGTCACTGCAGACGGGTGCACGGCCCTCACCTGCCTTCGACTCCCACTGAGGTGGTGCTCAGGATGGAGGCAGAACCAGAACCCATGGGCCCTCCCGCGGCCCAGGCCCAGCTCCTCCTCCCGCGGCCATTTCTAAGGCCTGCACCCAAACAGAGGTCCTTCCAGGAAGGAGGCTGTCAGTAT